GCAGTGGGCAGCGCCAGCAGACCTCAGAGTCTGTGCTGGACAGGGCAGCGAGGGGCCACGCAGTCCACGGGGCTCCATCCTGGCCCCTAGAAAGCCACAGGTGACAGACGCAGAGGGCAGTGCCAGCTAAGACAGCACCCAGCCATTCAGCTCCTTGGAACACACCTGGAGGGTCCCAGTAGCGCTGCAGCCCCAGCCTCCTCTGTAGTCCCTGGTGTGGCCCATCCTTGGGCTCCCGGGGTCCTCCTGCCCCTTGGGGACTTGTTGTTCCCACCCACGTGAGGGCCCCTCCTGCCCCAGCCTCCTCCTCAGACCCACCTCAGACCCAGCCGGGGCGCAGGAGGAGGAAGCTGGAGCCACTCCGATTACACTGGATGCTGGTGCGCGTGGCCAGCTGCGCTCTTACTTTCAGGCCCCTGTGTGCACAACAGGAAGCCACTGCCAGCCATGGGGCCCAGAGGAGAGGGCGGTGCTCAGGATTCTCTCCCCAGGAACCTGCTGTGGCTCCCTAGGTTACTTCTGTTGCAGACCAGAATGGTGCTCTGATATACACTATCTCCCTTCCCCCAGCATCAAGGCGGCGGCAGGCGTGAAGATAACGGCGGTGAGAGTCAGCGACGAGGACCAGTGGGCGGTGCAGGAGGAGATCGAGCACAGCGACAGCCAGACGACAGCCGCCCTGGCCTGTGTGGGCCACCGCCCCGACACCCAGAGCAGGTGAGCGCCCCCCCGGGGCCCGGGGCTGCACCGCGGGCAGATGCGCGGCTGGGTGACTTCCATCTTTCAGCCCTGTGTTCACGAGCGCCCGGTCGGGTCGTGGTCTCGGGGCTGCTGCTGTTTGCCTTTGTCCCAGTGCAGCTTGACGGCCACACACCGGGTCGTCGGCGTTGCTGTTGCTGTCACTGTTTGCCGTGTGGAGTTGGGGATGAGATGGGAAAACAGAACTGCTCAAGAGGCAAAGGGGGAAATGCGCTCCCGTGCGACACCGGGTGGCTGGCCGAGGCTCGGGTCTGGGGCCGGGTGACCCTGCGTTGCATGTGGCTCACGGGAAGCAGAGGGTTGCTGCTGGTGACTGCGGCAGGACCCAGGTGGGTCGGGGGTGCAGGGCGCGCACCCCGCATGTCCCTTCTCTGCCTTGCTCTGCCTTGCCCTCTACCCACAGCTTCCACGGCGGCTGGGCCAGCGGGTTGCATCCGCCATGGCCCATCCCTCGCCCAGCGGGGCGCCGACGCTCAGCGTGGTGCGTGAGCCCCTGGCCGATCTGACCCTTCACCCTGTCGCTTGTAGCCTTCGTCTTCTTTGGTGTCCGGTCTTCAGCAGCTTGAGGCCCAGGAGAAGCGTACACAGGAGTGGGTTGTGGGTGCTCGAGACACAGGGTCTGGGCGAGGGCTTTCCCTGTGGGCCGTGGGGTGCAGGGCCCTTCTGGGGCGGCCGACCTCAGCTGGCGCTCTCCTGCCTGCTCCCGAAGGTCTCCTTCCGAGACGGAAGTGATGCATGGAGTAGCCGAGATCCTCGAGCTGGATGTCTCTGCACACTCATCCTTCACCTCCACGGACAGTGTCCACTCAGCAGCCTCCCCTGGCCCTGGTTCCCCTGGGAGCCGTGTCTGCCTGCCACCCCGACCCCCCAAATCTCTGGTGGCTCGTATTTGCTCAGCTGCTGGCAGTCACAAGCGAGGGGTTGTCTGCCGCAAAGTGGCTGCTTCGGAAGGGTTTGACTCTGTCCCACAACAAGAAGCAGAAACAGGTGGCTCTGCAGCTGGCTAACACAGCAGCTCCTGTGTGTCCCCAGGGTGCTTTGTGTCTTTCTGCCCCACCATGGCTGCTACACCTATGTCACGCTCCAATTTGCTCCCTCATGGTCACAAGACGGCTGCACCTTTCCGGACCTCACATGGTCACCCAGTAACATCCAGAGACTGGAAGGGAGCAGGGCTTCTCCTGTGTGCCTTTTGACCGGGGAAGGAAAGCTTTTCAGCAATCTCTGCAGAAGTTATCTCTCCAGACTTCATTAATGCAGGTGTGAACTCCAAGATTCAGGCTGGTATTGGGAAGTGCAAGTCTGGATTAATTTTGAGCCATGGAGCAGGAGACAGAATGGGGATAGGAGGAGGGCGGCTGGCGAGCTGGCGGGCTGGTGAGCTCGGCTGCATTCCTCTCAGTGGTATCTGTGGGGTTGCGCTGGAGTCCGTCTGTGGAGTCCCTGTGTCTTCCTGTGTCTGTGAGGAGACTTCCCTTGGGTGCTGGTTTATCAGGGCCTTTTCTGATTGCCACCATCAGGTCCTGTCTTAGGCACTGTCCTGGCACTGGACACAATACCTAGCACCCACCACGCAAGGCAGGAGAGGTTTCTGTTGACCCAGGGTTCAGTCCATGGTTGGCTGGTTCCAGGCAGAGACAGTGTGGTGGGAGGGCCTGGCGGAGAAGAGCTGCTCATCTTACGGTGGCTGGGAAGCAGAGTGAGAGGGAGGAGCCAGGAGGGAGATGAACCCTCCCTGGCCACCTCCCGGGGACTGCCTCTTCCACCAGGCCCCGCCCTCTATAGCACATTCAGCCGTAGACCACCCGTGGATTAATCATGGTGCTCTGTGATGCAGCTGCCTTCAAGACGTCCGCCTCTGGACACGAGACCTCTGGAGACAGGTTCTGCACTCATGCAGTGCCTCACGCAGGTGGAGGAGCTCAGGCGCATGAACCAGGGGCGTTGGGCCAGCTGCCCCAGTGTCTCCTAGGTGCTGTCCCCTTCTGCTCTGGGTTGGCTTTCCAGGGGCAGGATGGAGGGCAGCAGCTCCCAGCAGCCACCTGTGGAGCGGTCGCTTCAGGGAGCAGCTGTTCTTCCTAGACAGGCCCAGGGCTCTGCGGTCACAGACTCCGCTTGGTGCAGCTTGGATCTTCTGCTGACCTGAACCAACTGTTGTCGCCAGCTGTGAAGGGGTGGGGCAGAGATGAGTGGAGGGGCTCTGCGGGGGGCCATGGTTGCGGGGGGGACACAGGTAGACGTGGGATGCAGCGGCCAGCACAGTGTCACAGCCCTGATGCTGAGCCGGAGCAGGCGGGGAGGGATCTCCTGGCCCTGCGCCCCAGACATGGGCGGTCACGGCAGTATCTGCAGTCTGCAGAGCAAATTAATTCTGTTGAAGTATTGGACTAAGTGGTGATGTTTTAAACTGGAAGAGCCACGCACGCTGTCAAAAGCAGTCACCCCTTTGATTTTGGGAAAATCATTTTCTGCATTTTCTTTAGAAGAGATTTGTAAAAAGGCTACATGAGAAAAAAGTCAGGTTATATAAGTGAAGTTACATAATTCCGAGACAGCCTCACCTCCTGTGTGTGTCTCTCCCTCTTCCTCCTCCTCCTTCACATTTAGAATTTGACCTCCCTGGGGCTATAACAAGGGCAGGGAGTGTTACGCTGGCATGACAATTTATGCTTATCTAATATCCCTCTAAAATCCATTCCATAATCTAAATAAGTAATTGCTTCTTTTTATACTTTTTGTTGCATTGTGATATCAAATGAGGTGTGAAATACAGGCTCATGGACTGGGTTTGTCGCTAACAAAGTGAATATATGAATATATCCCTAACAGAACATCCGCAGAAAGCTGTAATCTCTGAATTGTGACAACCTGGAGTGGAATGGAGCCTTTAATGGAATATAATGTACAAACTGCCTGAAATTCTGTGATAAGCATTCAGAATGTGTCATGTGGAAAGACCCAGCATGCTCGGCTGGGAGGGCAGAAAAGGTCTCAATTTAAAATATTTTAATGAAGACTCATTGTGAAGAAACGTGAGTAATAAAGATGAAAACTGCAAGATAAGGAGCGGCACCGCCAGGGAGGGGAAGAGGAGACGAGGAAAATAAGCAAATTTGAAAGTGTTCTGAACGGATAACAGGGACGGCAAGAGACAGGAAGCAGGCAGATGGACCGTCGCCACGGAGACCATGTGCGGGTGGGGAATGGGAGGTGAGGAGCCGGCCCTGGTGATTTCTGTCTGACTGTTGGGACTCACACCTCAGAGAACAGGCTGCCTTTTATTTGGTCAGAAATCATGATACAGAGCTGCTTCTCTGCACACATGGCATTCAGGCAGAGGAGAGCTGTGTAGTCCCCTGGGGAATAAGGATAGAAAAGCCAAAGCCCTGAAATGGATTTCTTCACAGGAACAGCCCCACCCAACCTGGAACCCTACTCCACGTGAAACCAAGGTCAAAGCCAGCTGCATCCTGTGAGGTGTGACCATATTTGGAAACCTGGAGACAATCTTTTGGGAATTTATCTTTGCCAACTTGAATCCAGAAAACATTATAACTGTGTTTGTCAGCTTTTCATGACTATAACACATGCGTGAGGTTATCAGGTTATAAAGAAAAAAGGTTTAATTTGACTCACGGTTTTGCAGATGCGAGTCAGTTGGCCCTGTTTCCTGTCAGCATGGACTGGGCTGGTGCATCACAGCGGCGGGTGTGTGGGGGAGCAAAATCCTGCTCACCCCAGGGCTGGGATGAAAGAGAGACAGGAAGTGGCTGGGGTCCCACAGTCCTTTTTGAGGACACACCCCAGTGACCTCACGCCTTCTGCCAGGCTCTGCCTTTGAAAGGCTCCGTCACTTCCCAATGGGACCAAACTGGGCACTGGAGGACGATTCGGTTCCGGACCGTGGCACTGACCAGCTGAGCAGAGGCGGGGGCCACCGTTTCGCCAGTGTGATGAGCCCATTGTGCTTTGTGAAGTTCAGTCACTGACCACTGAGCAAAAAGCAACATTGATGTCACGTCAAGGGTCATGTTACGGATTTGCGAGACCTGAAGCACGCTGAGTCTCTCTGTGAGCCTGTGGAACTCTACTCAAGTTTAAAAAAAAACCAGGGAGAGAGATGTCCAGGGACCAGAGCAGGTCCTCTGTTGCTAAATAGTAGAAGTTGTTTTTCCTCTTTGGCTGAGTTTATGTTAGTTCCTTTCCTTCTGGAAAAGAGAAAGAACACACGTTTTAGGATGTTTCTCAGGACACTTGCGTGATTCTATTGCCCATTCCTTATTTTATTTAAAAATTTACTGAAAAATCACATAATGCTTACTGGGGCCAGACATTATTGTAAGCCATTCGGGAGAATAATTGTTTGAAAATCAGAAACACCAGGGCCCCGTGATGTTGATAACTATTACTGTTCCCACTGGATGGATGAGCGGACAGAGGCGCAGTCAAATGACCTCCCGTCTCAGTGGCTTTCTTGTTGCCGAGACACAAACCTGACGCCTGCAGCTTTGAGGAGGAGAGGCTTATTTGGCTCAGGGTTCAGCCCGTGGTGGGCAGGCTGGAAGGTAGGATGGTGTGGTGGACGGGGCTGGCGGAGAAGAGCTGCTCACGTCACGGTGGACAGGAAGTGGAGAGCGAAACGGGGGTTTGGAGGGAGATACGGACGCTGTCTAGGATGCTGTCCCGGGACCTGACTTCATCCACTAGCAAGCCAGCTGCACCATCTGTTCCCTGTGATCCAGTGACCTTCCCAACACGAGGACTTTGGGGGCCACTTCAGCTCTAAGCCAGGACCCCCCCAAGGTCTCGGAGCCGGTGTGTGGTCCCAGCAATCTGACCTCAGGTTCTGTGCTGGAGCAGCAGCCTGGGCTCTGCAGAGGCATGACAGGGTGTCCCGTGCAGCCCTCCCACAGTACCCGCCTGCCCTGGCCCATCTGTTGGCTCCCTGTCCCCGCCAGCCTGGACATGCAGCAGCACCCCCAGTGCCAGCGGGCTGCAGGTTGAGCGTGACTGCACCATGTTGTGTCCATGCTCCAGTCTCCTGGACCTGTGGACCTTCTTGGGCATGAGAGCCCTTGGGTGGTGGTTAAGGATCCTGAGATGGGAGGACTGTCCTGGGGTGCTCAGGTGACTGGTGTTCTAACAGAGAGACATCCGGGGCAGGACGCACAGAGGGGACTTGGAGACAGAGGCGGAGGTGATGGGGAGGCAGCCGCAGGCCTAGAGACCGAGGGACACTGGAGACACCGTGAGCTGGAGGAGGGGCTTGGTTGTGCCCTGGAGCCTCCTTGACTCTGGACCTCTGGCTTCTGGGACTGTGAAGGCATAAATGTGCGTGGGTGTAAGCCAGCAAGGTCCAGCTCATTGGTACCACGGCCTCGGGCGCCCAGCACAAGGGCAGATGGACCCTCGTGGGGCAGGTGTGGGGAGGCTGCTCAGTTCTGGGTGTGTGGCGGGGTGCAGGGAGCCCAGGGTCTGGCCTCCAGGGGTCACCAGCGGGGCCCTTTGCAGCCAAGCTCCCTGTGCAGCCAGGGCTGGCAGGGACTGGTCCCTGAATAAAGCAGTGAACGATGTTCAACTCCCGAAGCTGCTAAAGGCACTGCGTTTTTAGACAGGTGAGAATTTGAAAGGAAGGATTTAGAAGCACCACACTTGCAGGGGTGACAGTGGCATTTGCCGTTGGAACGCATAGGACCTCTGAGCAGAAGCCACTGAGGAAGTTCCAGGCCAGGACTTCAAGGGGGTAGGCCGCAGACTGTGCGGAGCTGCAAAGGCGGCCTGTCCTGGTTTGAATTCCCGCTGGAAACGGCCGCAGAACCCTCCTCGGGTTGGAGGAGGACTCCTCCCATACTCTCCAAAAGCGTCAGATTTCAGGAGAGAAAGAGAGGTATTTTTTAACCCTCCCCCCTTATTTCTAACCAGCGGGAAACTCTCTGTTGAATTCATGCTGCCACCCAGTTTCAGCAAAGATCTCACTCTTTAAGCAAATTTGGCAAATACAGATGAGCAAAATGGGGCATACCCAAGCCACTCCAAACCGAGGTAACAACGGCAGTAGCTTGGTGAGTGTATTTGTGTAGAGGCACTCACACAGAGGTGCAGAAATATGTTGGTTTTGGGTAAATGTTAGGTTCATGTGTTTAGCTTCAAAAGTGGCTGCTTCACGTAATAGCATGGAATAAATTGCCTGGTCTTGCCTTTCCGCATATTCTCCGAGACAGAAGCGGGTGGGGTGGAAGGGAATGCTGGCCGAAGCCCAGCCCTTTGGTGGGGTTGCAGTGGCCTCTTCGGTTCCCCTGTGAGCTCTGAGCTGCGGCAGGCGGGGCCCTGATCACTGCCAGGGGTGTGCATGGCCCAGGTCCTTTGCGAGGTGGAAAGAGAGGACGGCGTCCCCGGCGTCACTCAGCGTCTCACGTGCCCCTTCTCTCCAAGCACAGAGTTTATTTCTCCTGTAGGATTTCACTTTTCCGGTTCCCGTATGAGGCAGACGCGGAACCAAGGGCAGCGAGTCTTTCTTCCCAATGTCCGCCCGTGTGGTGTTGCCAGAGCAAAGCCCGGGCGGCCGGGGAAACGAAGCCAGGGTAGCCTGCAAAGTCCATGCGAACAGGAAGGGGTCTGCGTCTGTCCTTGCATGTGGTATTTGTTTGCCAGAAGCCCTGGCCCGTCCGTGAGATCCCTTTAGCATTATTTCACCATTTTGGACACGTATCACCGGATGTGACCATTCTGATGTCACAACGTCATATTACGATGCCACGACTGTCTATGTCATGAACTAATCTGTCCCCGAAGCTACGAAACTTCCTTCAGATCCAGTTCAAGGATTTGACCAAAGCAGCTTTTCAGCGGTCGCCTGTCTCCGCCCCTGCAACTTCCTTCCCGTCAGTTTTGCAGAAATTCTTTTGGACTGGAAAGCCTCCATTTAACTCATCGGCCACCTCTGAGCATCAATGCCTGCGCGGCCCCTTTAAGCCGAGATGAAAGGTGAGTGCCTGGGCATCCGTTCGGGAGACCTGTGTCTCCGGGAAGGACAGTGTGACTTCCTCCGTTCCACAGCCGGCTCGTAGAGGGCAGGAGTTATGCCCCTTCCTTACCGGATGCGTCTACAGATGTGCCTGCAATTCTCAGCTGCACTTTAACTTCCAATGCTGACTGCAGCTGGTCCGTGGCCCGGGGAACGTGGGGATCGTGTGTGCCTGGTGTGTTGCGGGTAGTGAAGAAAAATCACCGTGTGAATGGGCACTGCAGGGTGCTCCGGCTTTCTTGATGGGCGTTTCCTTGCGGCTCTGCAGAGGGGCTGCACACCTATGGCCACCTGACGGTGGGGCGGGGCGCTGAGAGTGGCTGTGCCTGGGCAGTGCCTGGGGAAGTGTTGTCTGATCCAAGAGGAGGCTTGGGAGTGGCCAGCCTTGTGGAGACCTGGGATCAACAGTCAAGCCAGAGGGGTGAGTGTGTGAAGGCCCTGGGGTAGATGGTTCCGGAGAGACGGGGCAAGGGAGTCTGCCTGGAGCCCCAGGCACTGGCCTTGGGCTGGAGGCCTCTGTGCAGAGGTCAGGAGCGCAGGGCCACAGGGAGGCGTTCGGCCAGTAAGCCCGGAGCTGCAGAAGCTGCGTGCAGTAGAGCTGTGTGCGTTTCAGAGACTTTGGATTTCGTTCTGTGTGGAGTGGGCGGCTGCTGAGGGCTTGGAGGGTGATGGGAGCCTCCTTCCATTTATTTGATTTTATACGTTTTAAAATTTAGCAGTGTGGGTATTTTTTGCTGAACTGGGGATTGAACCCAGGGCCTTAGCACTGAACTACGTCCCCAGCCCTTTCTTATTTTTTATGTTGACTCGGGATCTCACTTAGTTGCTGAATTACCCAGGATAGGTTTGAATTTGTGATCCTCCTGCCTCAGCCTCCCAGTGAGCTGCTGCCACACCTGGCTTCACCTTGTGTTTTGAGGTGACCTGCTGCTCTTGGTGGAGGAGGGACCTGGGAACACAAGTGGAGCCGGGAGGGGGAGCCAGTGGGGCTCCGGTAGCATCCAGGGGGCTTAACTGAAACGGAACAGGTCTTTCTTCCTGTTGCCTTGGTAACGAGAATCCCTTCATGCAAATGATGGTGTGGTGCAAGAAGCTGAATGTAAATGAAACGCGTGGCAGACAGGCAGAGAGGTAAGTGACCTGTCTAACGCCACTTCCGTGGAAAGACAGTGACGCTCCGAGAAGGACTTCGGGAGGGCTCGGGACGTGGGAGGTGTCCAGGTGGAGACCAGGACTGCACGGAGCTACATGGCAGAATTGTCCTGGCTCCTGTGTGCGGTTCAGTGAAGGCTGGCCAGGTCTTTGCGTGTCTTTGTCTACCTGCCCCGACGGCCACAGGCGGGGGCTTCTGGGGAGGTGGCTTTGAGGTGGCAGCAGCGGTGTGGAGACAATCACGGTAGGTAGAGGAAGGGAGTCTGTGACCAGCCAGCGGGACAGTGGCTTGAGACACAGGTGACCGAGGAGGCCCTCAGAGGGCAGATGTCCAAGGTCATGGACTCCTAGGGCTTGGAGCCTGATGCCTCGGGGCCCTGGGGCTGGGGATCCTGTCCAGATCACTCTGCTGGCTCTGCTGCGGCGTCTACGTCCTGGTCCCAGGCCTCGATCTCGCCCTGTGTGGTGTGGAGTGTGTGTGCTGCTCTGTTCGCTGCCGCCCGAGGTGGGTATGGTGGGAGAGGCTTCGCGCAGGCTGTTTGGGGAACGGCTTTGCCAGCGCTGTAAGCAAGCATGAGACGCAGTCTCCGCGCCAGCGGCTGGCTGCAGCCTGGGCGAGCCACTCGGCATCTGCGGGCTGTTGTAGGTCGACACGGCCGCTGTAATCACACAGGATTGGGAGAAACGGGCCTGGATAAAGCTTCCCTTCGCACAAAAGGGGGCTCACCCTGAATGCTTCCAGGGAGCTCAGAATGTGGCTGGGATGCCGAGGCCCGCCGCCATGCCACAGAGTGGGCCCTGGTGATGTATGAGGTTCACCCGTCCTTGCTTGGTGCTCAGGGACATTTTCACAGTTCCACTGCTGATGCATTGCCTCGCTTATGTAATAAACTGTGTACTTAAAGTACACACACGAACAGCCTCTGGCTCTGGCATTTGCCGGTGGCCTGTCCCCTGGTGGGCAGGCCAGGGTGGCCAGTGTTTGGTGTTTGCAGTGCAAGGTGCACACGCCGTGGAACTAACCTCGCTCTGACGGATCTTCCTGCCCTGAGACTGGAGCTTCCGTGTATGCACTTGGTTATCACAGGAGGCCTGGAACCAGACGAACAAGCACTTCTGAAGGAAAAGCCAGCTTGGCCCCGGTAGGGTCCCCGGACAGTCCTGCCTGGCTGTTCCCAAACCCGGTTTCCTGGCTCACTTCTTTGGGGCACATTGAATTTGTAAGTTGCTAGAATTGCAAATTTACAGGGTTTAGCCTTGACCCTGAAAAGGACTGATTCCTTCAGGGGTCTTAGGGCCTGAGAGCCGTTGCAGGCCTTTGCCACGGAATAGCGTTGCCGTGGGGCAGTGCCAGGAGCCCACAGGACAGTCTGGGGAACCCGCATGCTCAGTGGGCTGTTCGTACCATTGAAAGCTCTGAAAGGTTCACCGTCCTTCAGGAGGAGGAGGTCCCCATCTTGAACTTCAAACAGCTGTATTTCTTGAATGACCTTTCCGTCCTCCCCTATTTCCAATGCTCTGGGGCTCACCTGGGATTTCTGTGCCCGGAGTCTTTGCCGACGGCCCTCCCCAAAAGGTGGCTGGACGATGATATTTCGTGTTTCTGTCTTCTGCCCGCGCCCAGCTGGCTGTTCCTTAAAGTTCACGAGGTAATCCGTGTAATTACCTCCTTTCCCCCCTCACGTGTCAGTGTGCTTCGGAAGGGGGCCTCCAGGCTGAATACCGAGTACGTGACCCCAGCGGGTGACAGATCGCCACAGACTTGGCGTGTTTGACCAGCACCAGTTTATCCTTTCATGCTTCTGGAAGTCAGAAGTCCAACATCAGTCGCACCCGGCTCAAGCCAAGGTTATTTGCAGATTGTGTGGCTCAGGGAGGCAAGCTAGAATCTGTTTCCTTTTCTTTTCTGGCCCCTGGAGGTGGCCCCTGGACACTCTGACCTCTGTCTCCATTGCATGACCCCTCCTCTGCCCTCCACTCTCCTGCCGCCCTCTGGTAAGGACGGATGTGACCCCAGCAAGCCCACCAGGAAGTCTGGGACAACCTCCCCCTCCCGAAGTCCCATCTGCCAAGTCTGTCTTGCTGTGTAAGGTGGCGTGGTCACAGATGCTGGGGACTGGGTTGTGAATATCTGGAGGGCGCTGCTCTGCCCACTGAGTGGCATTCACCACGTGTGGCTCTAAGATCTGTGGTCCCTGGGCCTGCAGACGGCAGCACAGCACAAAGTCGCTGCCTAGAACCCAACAGAAGGGGCAGACGCTCGGGTTGTTTTCACTCTCGGTGTTATGAGTCCTGCTGTAAGGGACGTCGTTGTACAAGGTTTTGCTTAAACACCTGTGTTCCGTTCTTGACTGGACGTGCTTGGTTGTATGTGAACTCTGTGTTGAAATGACTGGGTGGCCCCGAGCTGTTTGTTACAGAGCTGTCCCAGACTCACACTCCTGTCAGCAGTGAAGCGGGCTCCGATCTCTCCATATCCTTGGGTGGATACGTATGGTCCGTCTATAAGATGGAACGAAGCCTTAGCTCAGGCTGCCGTGTGGAGGAGGCTTAGAAATGCAACGTGGGATGAGAGAGATGGACACACAAGACTCTAGAGCACGCGATTGCATTTATAAGGAATATCCATGGAGACAGAAAGCAGGTCAGCTATTGCCAGAGGAACGGGGGTTGGGGTGTGCTGCTGATGGACACCCATTCCCTTTGGGGTTGACGAAAGCATTCAGGACAGAGAGTGGTGATGGTTGCACGTCATAGAATTCCCTTATTGCAGTGGAGTATGTGCTTGACAGTGGGTGAAGTGGTGAATGTGACGTTATGTGCAGTTTAACCACAATACGAACAGCACCAAAGAGGAGGACCTCCTTTCTTCTTGAAAGTTACCCGAAAGTCTTTTCTCCTCCAAGATGTTTTGGGCCCACGTAGGGCTACTGATTAACCTTCCCGATGGTTGTTCCACGTAAACCGCTTCATGAGAATCAACTCCTCTTGACAGCTTTTCCTAGGACTCTCCAGGAATGAAACATATTCTTAAGAATTCAAGCTATTCCTAGAGCTCACGTTTCCCCGCGGGCAGTTACTTCACAAGGAAGGACCCTCACCACTTTTTTTTTTGGTGGAGCTTGGAACAGTTCCACATTCTGCTGGATTTCTTTTTTCTAAACGGACCTGATGGTTTTCTTTGCTTTTCTTCTTAAAACTCATGAGCTATTTATTTCATGCACGTTTAAAAATACAGAGACTATTGTAATGTGCATCCATCCACACGCAGCTTTAGCACTGTTTACTATCTTTCCTGATTTGCTACAGAGCTAAAAAGTAAAAGCAAAACCAGAGCTCTTCCTCCACATTCTTCTTCCTTCCTCCTTAGAGCTAACCGCGATCCTGAATTATATGTTTATTGCTTGATGAATATTTATGTAATTTTACCACATAAGTACCTTTCCACAGACAGTGCATTTGGCATGTTTTCAAACTTTATATAAATAGATTGTGCTGGAAGAATCATTTTGCAAGTTTTCTCTTTTGCTCAGTGCAACATTTCCCAAATTAATCCCTGTTGATACATGCGGCTCTAATTCTTCCATCCCTCCATGTGCAATATTCCATAGAGCAAGTTTCCTATCACTTCACTCATTTGTCCATTTTGGATAAGTGCTATGTAAAATTTTTGCTCTTGTAGATGTCAGTGCCCATTTTTCATACAGGAATCTTACTTATTTGTATTAGACCCTCCAGTGGGTAGTGAGTTTTAAGATGAGGGCTGTAACTCATTAATGAATGTGGCCTGAAAGGATGAATAGAGAAATTGGGTAGATTAGCACAGAATTGAAAATACCCACAGTACGGCCATTCACAGCCTCTGCATCTGCATATCCAGATAGTCCAGGGTGTACAGGAAAAGAAGTATTACTTTGTGAAACTTGTGTCTTTTCGGTGCGTGAGCTTTTTGGTCGTCACGCCAAAGACTTCTTTCTGGGGGGTAGGAATGACAAAATGAGATGCTCGAGCTGTGTCATGTGTCAGGGACAGAGAAGTGCTTGCTTCATCCTCAGGTTTACGTTATCCTCAGCTTTCTATCTCTTACCAAAGTGGCCCCCAGGCTGGCTGTAGCAGTTGGCAAGTTGTATCTGAGGGTAAAAGATTTGGAGGTGAGAGGGTATTTTAGTCACTTCCTCATCACTGGGACACAGTACCTGGCCCTGGCTGTTTAAAGCAGGAGAGTTCACTGAGGTGACGTTTTTAGTCTGTAGTTGGCTTCCTTCCATAGGCAGGAAGGCATGGAGGAAGGGCCTGGCGGAGGAGGCTGCTCAGCTCATGGCGACCAGGAAGCAGAGCGAGAGGGAGGAGCCAAGGAGGGAGATGACCCCTTCTTGGCCACGCCCACAGGGACGCCTCTTCCAACCAGGCTGCACCTCCTCACAGCCTTACCGCGTGCCCTCCTGTGGGCTGGGGTTCTCCCGGCTGAATTTTATGGGTTTTCCATTGTTTTGTTGGAGGGGCCCATGCCACTTAATTTCTCTGCTGTCAAGAAGCAGAATTAAGCTATTCCTCTTGGTGAAAGAATGGTTCAGGTGGGGGACAATGGATGCAACAGGCCGTGGTTAAACACTGGCTGCGAAGCTGATGGATTGGCTGTCACTTGGATCTTGCTATAAAGGGGCAGAAAGTGATACCTAATCACTTCCGAAAAATACAACACTGAGGATGAATTTGATGCATCTTGATGTTCAGCGACTCATTATGGCCTACTGTTATTCTCCAGCGGTGATCGACCAGCACCCTCCACCTTCCCGTGGACTGAACAGTTCTGAAGCAGAGGTGTGCTTGCTTTCGAGTGACTCTGCATCCCCTGAGCTTTGTGAGCCCACGGCCCGAGGCCGCTTAGCCCTGGCTCCGCCATGGTAGGTGTCTGGGTGGCAGCCCGGGACCTGCTTTGTTTGGTTTGCAGAGCTTTCCTTGTCCCTTCATGTTGGGCCAAGTTAAAACTATATGGTCGGACTATTCTGGAGCGACTGGAAACACATGACCCCTGGAGCTGCCTCTGGCTGCTCTGATTAGAAAAGGCCCTGGCTGAGCCCAGTGGCACACGGCTGTTGTCCCAGGGCTTTGGGAAGCTGAGGCGGGAAGATCTCAAGTTCAAGCCCAGTTTGGGCAACTTAGCAACTTACTGAGCCCACATCTCAAAATAAAAAATAAAATGAAATGGACTGGGGGTGTAGCTCAGTGTGAAGGTCCTGGGTTCAGTCCCCAGTGGGGGAAAATAACAAACAAACAACCAGGCTCAGGGATGTGTGTGGGTTTTTCATTACTGTGATGAAGTATCAGATATGAACAATTTAAAGGAGAATTTTTTTGGGCTCAAAAGATTTTAGTCCATGGTCAGCTGGCTCCATGGGTTTGAGGCCTGTGGGAGCAGAAACACCATGGAGGAGAAAAGCTGCCCACTTCATGGTAGCCAGGAAGTAGGGGAGGGAGAGAGAGAGTTGGATTTGAACTTGTGGGGATCCTCCTGCCTCAGCCTCCCTAGTGCTGGGATTGCAGGCGTGCACCACCGCACTGAGCTTTCTTCCTTTCTGTACTGGTGATTGAACCTAGGGCCTTTGTGCTGGGCTACATCCCCAGCTCTTTTAATTTTATTTATTTACTTTTATTTTCAGACAGTTTTGCTAAGTCACTAAGTTGCTTTTCCTCTTAAAACTCAGGAGCTACTTATTTCAGGCATATTTAAACATACAAACTTGGGCTCGAACTTGGGATCCTCTTGTCTCAGCCTCCTAGAGTGCTGTGATTATGGGTGTGTGTCACAGTCCTCTGATGAAAAGTTTTTCTTGATATTCCTCCCTGTGACCTACAAGTCATTTCAGCTCCTTTTGCCTTACCTTGCTCAACTTTAACACAGGGGAACTTTGGTATTTACTGGGCAGGGTCTTCTCAGATTTTGAGATCTGTGGAAAGTGCCTGCGGCGTCATCTGGCCTGGGCTCAGCGCTGTAGGGTGGGGCTGCCCTGGTGCCCCTGGCTTCCACTGTGTCTGGTATCACCAGTAGCCACGGCATTCTGGTATCCTGGTGTCACTGGTATCCATGGCGTCTGCGGAAGGCGGGGTCCTCCAGGGGAGAGTGGGTTCGAGGCAGGTGTGGAGGCCTCTTTCTCTGCAGCCCTGAGTGTCCTTGAGATTGGTACACAAATAGAAGGCTTCTGTGTTGAAGGAGGTCAAGGTGAGACACCATCGGGGTAAGCGAGGGCCTCTGAGGTAAAGGTGCGGAGAAGTGGGGGAGCGACCCTGAGGAACCATCAGAGGCCTTTGATCGCCACTGAGTTCCTTTCTGAACGCAATCCCTGAGGTCTGCTTTGCTTGGACCTGTGGTGCCGCCCCTGTGGGTCCCTTGGCCGCCAGAGAAGCCTGGGGACCTGGAAAGGGTTCTCCCGGCCAGGCCACGGGGACAGGCATAGGGTGGGACTGGAACGGGGACAGCAGGACTCGGCGGTGGGGTAGTGGCCTCTGAACCTCCTCTGTGACGGGGGGCTTCAGCACAGCTCACCGTGGAGATGCCACGCATCAGCCCAAGCTTTGCAGACCTTCTCCGGCGGCCTCTCCCCACAGTAGGAAAAGCGCTTCGGAAAGAATTCTTCCTCAAATAGTACTTTTTTAACCAGAAATATGCCATTAGGCAAATGATGTTGGATCTTCCCAGGGAATTTCAAGCTACATTCAGTACTCTTTTCCATTCTACTTTTGCCCGTTTCCAAGTCAACACTAAACAAAGCAAGTGCTTGAGCAGGGGCCCGGGCCGTTAGTTGTGGAGGAGCAAAAACACAAGTGGTTTTAAGGTGTTCCGGAGGGAAAATTGCTGTGAAATCTCCTGTCTGTTACTGTGTAAAACCAGGGAGCCACGTCTGCGGTGCAGAAGCAGCCCAGCCGAGTCTCCTATCTGCCCACGCCCAGGGGGCCTGGATTTGAGTATTACCTGAGGACTGGGGAGTTTGGGATTTGCTGGGATTTGCTAGAGGGGCGCAAAAACTGGCGTCAGTTAAAATTACAGTCTTTGCAGTTGGCGCAGGGCTCAAGTCCAGACGCCAGTGTTTGCTAGCTGTGCGACCCGGGGGGCTCGGCCGTGTGCCTTAGTACCTCACCAGTGGCACAGAAAGGCAGACGGTAGCTGCTCGGACGTTTGTGCCGGGGACCTACGGGGTAATCGGTCTGAAGTGTTTGGTGGCCCTTGGCAAACAAGCTCCTGAAAAGAACGAAAGACGACGTTCCATTCAGGATGCAGACCACGTGTCTGCGACCACAGGCGGTCAGTGTCAGGTACTCTCTGTCCCGCTGTGGCGTTGAGTTTTGGACACACAGCTGTGCCGTCATCATGTGACAGCTCCAGAGACTCACTTCAGTCTTGGTGAGCGCCAAGTGGGCGGGATGAAGCAGATCTGGGGGTTCTGTGGGGCCCCGAGTCCCCAGTCACAGTGGTCATCCCTCTGGTGGTGAGGAAGGAGGAGGCCAAGGGCTGGCGGGGCTCCCCGGTTTCTCTTGGCAGGGCGTGTCCAGATTTTCATGAGTGTTACCGTTCTCCTACCTGCGGATCAGTGCCTTCTGCCAGGGGGGCCGCCTGAGAGCAAGGTGTCCCTGAGCAGCCCCAGGTGCTCCATCAGTTTTCTTCTTGAGGTGGGGGGCTTCGGTGGGGCCCCGGGCGTCCTGTGGAAGACGGCCCTTGTCATAGTCCTGGGCAGCAGGACCGGCCGAGCCTTCTGGTCTGTGAACCAGGCACTGGCAGGACCGTCCATGGCTGTAAATTCCACTTGGTGCAGGGAGGGTTGGCACGTTGGCCTCTTTGTCACCTCCTGAAGGGGAGGTGCTGATGCGGCGTCTTCCGTGGTTACCTCCCGGTCCCTCTAAGACTCTTGCGCCATTTCTGGGGTCCCCACTGGGAAGGAGTGGCTGGGCTCCCTGCTTCACGCGGGCTTCAGGAGCCGGGTAACAGTCAGTGCTGTGGGACTGCTTTTGTCTGTTCTTTTGCTCCCAGTTCCTTCTCAAGCCGGAAAGCTCATCTATCTTAAATTGGAGTGGAAACATTGTAATTAAACTTTTATAAGTGAGGTAGATTTACAGCTAAGCTGGTTAGATTTTTCATTGTCAACAGATGCCATGGAAGCTAAAAGAACCCACGGAACTGCGAGAAAAATGCTTTTTTGTTTTTTAAAAATCTGTTAACAATGGCAGACTTTATTTTATTTGTTGTCTCTGGTGCTTTAGTGACAATGAGATAGAAGGCAGCTGCGCACCGTGAAATTGCATTGTGTGGGGAAGGGCCGGGCTGATGGAAGTGAATTTTTTCCCCTGTGGTAATTTATTAAGGCTGCCTTGGCTGCCTGGGGAAACGCAGTGTCTATTTGGGGCGTCTGTGGGCGAGGGCAGCGTGGTTTATTCTCCATCCATCTTCTCTGTCCTCCTTTCTCTTGGGGATCAACTCTCTTCTGCATACAAAAGATTTGGGATGTAACCGGATAAAAACCCTCCCAATTATTGGAAAGACACCCCACTTTTTAAATTCATGCTCCCCATTTTGCATGGAATGCTCTTACTCATTTTCCTCTGTGTAATTTAGAAATAGATTGATAGATTTGGAAAAAAGAAAGCAGAAAGAACCACCGTTGACATTTTTTTTCTAGTTTCACTCGGGGCTTGGGTTCTCTGTGTTTCTTACATTCTGCGTAAACAGCTTTCTGTCCTGCTTCGTTAGGGCTGACTGCCTGCCGTGTGCATTTGCACGTGTAGTCACAAACCTGTGAGCTTTTTGACCGCACTTCCCTATTTCTTCATAGGAGGGTGGCATAGTTTGTTTCTAAACGTTTTATTGTTCTAAGTCATGCATGGAACTTGGTCTTCTAGATTGCTCCTGGAGTATGTTCCTGATGTGATGGCCCTGTGTGTTGGTATTTTGGAGGCTTTATTGCATACTTCGGAAAACTGCTTTCCCGAAAGTGCCAGTTAGTGCCGGCGAGGGTCCCTCTGATGCATTACGTGGCCACGCCCTCCACAGCCCCTGGAATGTGTCCCGCCGCTGCTGCGGCTGTCGTGAGGCAGGTGTAGATGGCCCTCATGTCACTGTGGCTGGAGAACTCAAGGAGAGGAGCGCAGCCTGCATCACCTGCAGGTCGGATGCAACCCATGGAAAAGCCTGGGAGCACAGTGAGGGTCCCGGGAGGGAAGAAATTCCCCTCCCACACACCAGCCTGCTGCTCGCCCTGTGCATTTAGGACCGGCCCACGGTCACAGCGGCCCTAGCCTGTCTCCCCGACTGGGTCTGTTTTCCAATTGCAGGAATCCCCAACCCGGGCTATGCAGCGGGGGTGTGCAGCCCCTCCTCACAGCTCCTCCCAGCTTGAGCGCCGCCTCCTGTGAGTCAGCGGCACCTTTAGATTCTCCTAGGAGCGCGGGCCCGTGGTGAGCTGCGAGGGATCTAGGTTGTGCTCTCAGTGAGAATCTAACGCTGGATCATCTTCAGTGGAGCTGAGGCGTGGTGCTAGCACTGGGGAGTATAATTATTATGTATCACACACGTATACTGAGAAAAGAAAAAGAAACTGAAGAGTAAATCCTCCCACCCCCACCCACGGAAAAACTGGCTCCTACGAAACAGTTCTGGAGCCAAAAAGCCTGGGCATGGCTGCTCCGTTGAATAAAGACTGATGCCCACTCTGGCAGTGTCATGGCTTGTGTCTGGCTGTCCCTTCAAAGCCTCAGGTGGTCACAGGTGGGGCTTTTTGAGGTGGCTGGATCTAGAGTGTGCGACTGACTCATGGTGCAATGCTGGGATTAAGGGTGCTGGGATTGAGGATGAGTGATTACTAAACCGGTCCACTGACTGGTTAGGCACCGCCCTAACCCCAGTAGCTTGCATACAGTACCGGGGCAGAAAGAGGCTTGTCTCGTCCTCTGGTTGCTTGCTCCTGTCTGCCTGCTTGCCATGGACTGTTTCTCTTCTGATTCTCTCGGCCATGTACCCTGCCCTGGAGCCAGCAGATTATGGACTGAAACCTCTACAAACTGTGAGCTAAAGAAACCTTTCCTTCCTTAACTTTGGGTGTCGGGTGTTTTGTCCCAGCAACTAGAAAAGTAACAGAGACAGGCAGGAAAGGTCGGACCTGTGCCTCTCCTCTGCCCACAGTGCTATCATGTCAACATTTTCGCTTACTCGCTAATTGTGAAATATGTCCGATTCCTCTAAATTTCTTTTCTCTGTAATGGGACCAAATATCTTTCAGAACTGACCATTTCTTTTTCTTATGTCTGGTAACTCTGTGATAGTGCCAGGCCGTGGTGGAGGAGGCAGGCACTATCTCTCCTTGCATCCTCCCTGTCGCTGATGAGCGACTTCAGGCATGGAATCCCTCACTGCCTCACTCTCTTCATTTGCAAAGTGGAGGCGCCAGCACTAACAGTGCTGTAAACACCTACCTTGGCTGGTCATTAACCTGTTGCAAACACCCTTCAGCGCCTGTTCTGGGGTGAGCCTCTCACCCTTTGCAGTAGGCGGGGTTTGTCCGTAGAGGGCAGTGGAGGACGCCTACCCTCAGGTCTAGCGGGGCTCTTTGTCTTTTCTTGCCTCCCCTAGGCTGAGGCGCTGTGTGTGATGGACTCCCTGTTCTAACCCCCCACTGCAGCTGTGACTCTTGGGTGTGTAGCCCTGTGGCAAGCTCAGGGTCCTGGCCAGGCCTGGGGACTGTCTTCCCGGGGTCTCCCAGCATGGATGCCATACATTCCAGCCTGGGTGCTGCCCTGCTGGTTGGTGACTCCTGGCACCTTCGGTACACCCCTGCTGGCCTGGGCCCTGCCCCTGGGAGTGTGGCCCCTGTAGCCCCGGTAGAGATGCCTCACACCCTGGACCTGTGTCCCTGCTGTTGCGGGGGCGTCTGGACACTGACGCAGCTCTGTCCACCCCGGCCTCAGTCCTCTGTACCCAGAGTGCTATTCCTCACTTGCCTGGTCACAGGCGCCAGCTCCGGGCAGAGCCTCCCAGTGAACTCTGCGGCCCA